AGACGCTTTTATCCAAAGCGACGTACATCGGAGATTAAGTAAAACAGTAATCCATTCATACACCACCACCGAAGCAGCAGGAGCAATGCAGGGTTAAGTGTCTTGCCCAAGGACACATCAGACATGTTGCTCAGCTGGGGATCGAACCCTCGACCTACTGGTCGAGACGCAACGACTCTACCAACTGAGCCACAGCCGCCATGAAATGAAAAATCTATCCTGTGTAAAGAAATCAAGTCTATCCTGTGTAAATGTGTCTCTGAGTCATGACTGTCTACAATGAGTGAGAAGCTCGAGTCCTGCTGGCTGTGTTGTTGTCAGAGCGTGTTTACATGGACGGGACGGCCGGCTCCTCCCCTTGTGTATAAAAGCTGTTGTAGTCAAGAACTAGAGAGAAGAAGAAGAACATACTCACTGATTATTTAGATGTTATGTTAGCATTTATAGGTCACGGTCATTCTGTGTCAATTTACATGCAATGTGAAGCTATGAGCTAACTAAAGAGCGCTAACGACAGCGCTATGGACAGCAGCACAGTCCCCCAGCTGTGGAAACACTCCACAGTTATCCCCATCCCCAAGAAAAGCCCCGCCAAATTACTGAACGACCTCAGGCCTGTGGCCCTCACGTCTCTGGTGATGAAGGCCATGGAGAGGATCATAAAGCAACACATCATCAGAGAAACCGACTCCCAGATGGACCCGCTACAATTTGCTTATCGTGCAGGCAGAGGTGTCGATGATGCAAAAACATTCATTATAGATACTGTTCACAAACACCTGGAGCACCCCAACACCTCGGCCAGACTCCTGTTTGCAGACTTCTCCTCTGCATTCAACACCCTGCAGCCTCACATCCTGGCTGACAAACTTTCAACTTGCTTCCATCTGAACGACCAGCTTATCCTGTGGATATTGGACTTTCTGACCAACAGATCACAGAGAGTTCTGGTCAACAACACCTTCTCCAACCTCCAACACACCTCAACTGGCTCCCCTCAGGGCTGCGTGCTCTCACCTCTGCTCTTCATCTTCTACACCGATGACTGCAGAACCACACAGCCAAACTGTCACCTGGTGAAGTACGCGGACGACACAGTTCTCCTGTCTCTGCTGTCAGGCCCCTCTCAGCACCATGGACCAGTTCTTCAGGAGTTTGTGGAGTGGTGTGACAGCTCCTGCCTCGAACTGAACGTGAGCAAGACCAAAGACATGGTGGTGACCTTCTCCAACAAGCAGAGGGAACTGGCTGCAGCTGCAATCACCACAATCCATAGGAATCCTGTCGAACTAGTAGAGGAGTATAAGTACCTGGGTACCATCTTCGACAGCCTGCTGAAATTCTCCTCCAACACCGAGGAGATTCTCAGGAAATGTCAGCAGTGAAAATACCTCCTAAGGAAGCTCAATTCCTTTGGAGTCAGTAAGAACATTCTTCTGACCTTCTACTACTCCTTCATTGAGAGCATTATTACTTTTTCTATAACCTGCTGGTTCCACTCCACCACCCTCCAGAACAGAAACCGCCTGCAGAGCACGGTCACAGTCTGCTCTAAGATCATTGGACTACCTGTAAGGACTCTGACATCGATCTATGAGCAACAGACAATCAGGCTAGCAGGTGGGATTATGCAGGACCCCTCACACGCTCTCTTCCCAGCGTTTGAGTGGCTCCCCTCAGGACGCCGGCTTCACTGTCACTGCTGCAGGACACAGAGGAGAAGAGCAACCTTTGTTCCCAGGGCTGTCCAGCTCCTCAACTCCTAACCCCCCCCCAATGCAGATTCTCAGCTGTGAACTTTGCTGTTTTTACTTCCTTCTATTTGCCATGCACCTTAACTGCCTCTGCTTTATCTGGTCTCATGCACTACATCACTTTATTCTATCCATTTTATATCAGTATTCATACAGTTCTGGTTACTTATTCCTGATGTTTCTTATCCATCATTGCACTACGGTCACTTTATTTATCTCATTTTTACCTTTACAGTTATATTGTATATATTAGTTCTGTTGTTCCATTATTCATTATGCACCTTATAACTTATAATCATTTAGTATTTGCCTACTTGCACATAGTTCTGTATATATATATATTTATTTCTCGTTTACTGCACATAGTTCTGTTTACATCTGTTAGTCTGATCACTGTCCACTTATATCTACTCTTTTATATTTTCTATTTTTAAGTTAAGTTTAAGCTTTAAGTTGTATTTAAATTGACACTTTATATTTAGGTTAATGTTTCGTACTTGCACTGTTGCTCTGTGTGCCTTTGAATTGCCCCCCGGGGACAAATAAAGTTTTTTGAATTGAATTGAATTGAATTTATAACATTAGCATGCTAACACAACAACGCAGGACACAGGTGATCGCAGATCGAGCAAAGGACGATTTTGTCCACCGCTTGTGCTCAATGCAGGTTAATTACGGAGCGTTCTAATTGATAACGCCTTTGTGTGAACCTGAGTGGAGAGGGGTTGGAGGCTTCAGTATGGAGGAGGTGTGGCCAAACAGCAGTTTGTTTTGGTTTCATGCTGGTGCTCAAGGGCGACATCTACTGGATCAGAGTTGCACATTCTTCCTTTAAGGAGAAAATTCCAGACATCAGTGCAGATAAAGAAGCCATGAAAAAAGATGAAATATTGTTTGATTTTTAAAGATCTTTCAGGGTGAAGAGATCGTCTTTCTATCTGTAAGAGTGCAGGATATTCATTTATACTTTCACGGTATATACAGTTTAATTAATTTCAAGAATTTATTTTGTAGCGTTCATGCCTTCAAGGCCACCATTTATCCACACTCATCTCGTGAAGTTAACTCATTCAAACAGTGTGAGATCAAGTGATGGATTACATACTCGCATAAAATATAAGTCTTCTTTACCTGGATTACACTATGAATGCTGACCCGTTAAAAATATATAATCATCCTCCCCCTCTCTATGATGAATGCTGTGTCATTATAACAGGTTATGGATTTTTTTCTCCTCTGTGATTCTTCTGTATGCTGATAAAAAAACAGTATGTTGCAGCTGCAGTTTGTCTCCAGAGTTTAATCAAGTTTCATCTTATCAGTGAGTCAGTGTTGTGTCTGCACCGTCTGTGATAAATGGCGCTATGAAAGCTTTTTAATCACATCCGGATTCAGAAAGGACCTCAAACAGCTCACATCCGTTATTCCAAAAAGGACGCATTTCTCTCTGAAACCTCTCACTCTTAAGTTCTGAAGTGACACTTGCAACTCCACGCTGTTATCAAGACTCCTGTAGAGTGGTCTCGTCATACAGCGCGCACACACACAGTTTCAGCAGGATGGGGAAGCAAATATTCTTAATAAAGTGGATTGATGGCACAGGAGTGGATTTGTGTATGTGTTAGGGTGTTCACAATAACCAGAATGTTAGCTTTGATACAATATTAGTAAGTATCAAATGATATGGACACCTGTCCCGCATGCCCATGGGAATTTGCTCATCCAGTCTACATGTGTTTTGTGGACTTGGAGAAGGCTTGTGGGGGTTACTGCAAAAATGTGGGGTCCTGGGGCCGTTGTTACGAGCCATCCGGTCTGTGTATGACCAAAGTGGGAGCTGTGTCTGCATCCTCTGCACAAAGTCAGACATGTCATCGGTTCTGTTTTGTGATTTTCATGGACAGGATCTCAAGGAGCAGCCGGGGGGAGGAGGGTTTCCAGTTTGGGGGCCTCAAAATCTCATCTCTGCTTTGTGCAGATGATGTGGTTTTTGTTGGTTTCCTCATGCTGGGACGTCCAGCAGGCATTGGGACGGTTTGCAGCCTAGTGCAGAGCGGCAGGGATGAGGGTTGGCACCTCCAAGTCCGAGGCCATGGTTCTCTGCCGGAAATCAGTGGATTGCTCTCTCCGGATGGGGGTGTGAGTCTGTGCCTCAAGCGAAGGAGTTTAGGTCTCTCAGGGTCTTGTTCATGACTGAGGGTAGACAAACGGATAGGCTCAGCGTCGGCAGTAATTCGAGCATTGTGCCGAACCGTTGTGGTGAAGAGGGAGCCGAGCCTGAATACAAAGCTCTCGATTTACCGGTCGATCTTTGTTCTAACCCTCACCTCATGTTCATGAGCTATGGTTAGTGACCGAAATAATGAGATCGCAGATACAAGCGGTCAAAATGAGTTTCCTCCAGAGGGGTGCTGGGCTCAGCCTTAGAGATAGAGTGATGAGCTCAGACATTCGGGGGGAGCTCGGAGTAGAGCTTCTGCTCCCTTGCAGAGTTTGCTGGAGGGAATATATATCCCGTCTTACCTGGGTTTGCCTTTGAGGTTTGAGCCTCTGTGTGAGGCACAAACAAGCTGTCCCGTCAGTGTGAACACAGAGATCAGAACAACAAACTCAGAGGGAGTTTGACTTGGTTCTTTTTTTAGAAAGTCTTTAAAATATGATTTATTTAGTTAGGATATGTTTGATATCTGCTGTTGTGAAAAGTTGCAGATTAAACCTTTACATTTTTGGTTTATCGGCTTTGAAAGATCTTTCCAAAGTGTGTTGCTGAGACAGGAACAGCTTAATTTTCTCCTGATTGAAAATCAAGTTACCCTTTGAAAGGCTGAACGGACTGACCCGTCTGAGAAAGGTCACCCGTCTTTAATTAACTCTTCCTCTCTGGAGTGTTAGCTCTGGGAAAGATCACAAAGGAAGGAAGGCATTAGGGTGTAATCATCGAAGGAACCACAGGACTCAGGTGCATATTGCATTTTAACCATCACATTTGTACACCCAGGTGTTACCTTACTCATCACCTTGTGTGTGGTGTTCAGAAGAAATGAGGCTCTGATATTAACTTTGGTAACTGTGGGGCAAAAGAATGACTCACAATCTGTACTCATGCTCATTTCTCTGATTTGACCAAACTCAGTACCGGCTGCTGGACTGTTAGAGGGGGAGGGGAAACAAGGGACGATAGGATAAAGACATCTGATTGGTCAGTAGGCAGAGATAATACGTTTCCTCAAGTGTTGCTTGGCTTACCCGTAGATGCAGGAGATGTCGATGACCACGTCGATCATGTCACAGCACAGCTCGTACGTCTGCATGTCCACCGGGCTGCTGTCTGTGGCGATGTAAATCTTACTGACCACATCGAACAGGAAGGCCTTCTCGATACCCGAGTTCTGGAGTCAGAGAAGAAGATAAATCGGTGCAAATCATTCTGACTTTTGACAACCAAAGCTGTCAGTGACTGAGATGGATGCATGGAGGTTAGAGACGTTCTGCTGCTCTTTTTTGGATGATGAATGATAATAATCATTTTATTTTTAATTACTAGAGCTCGTAGTCATTAAACGGATAATTACACAAGATTACCCATAATGTTGTGATTGTAGAAAAGGGATACATAATGATATTACAGTCGATTCATATTCAGTCTCTCACGCAGCCGATGATGAGAAGAATGAAGATGACTGCTTAATGCACACAGGCTTATCATGAAATGGATTAATAGGCTCAGAAATGATTTATTATTTTATATGGACAGAGCTGGAACGACATGCAAATGAATTCCAGCAGAACTTGAAATGAGTCGTTGCTTCTGCACGGTTTATTATTTAACAGCAAGGACTCAGAGAAGCACAACCTGTTTGCACACACTGAAGTGAGAGAGTGCTACTTGAGGCGGTCTTTGTTTTTTGGACTGCAGCCAAATTTCTTAATTTTTTTTTTACAGTATTCAGCTGTGTTGTAGTGTCATCACATTTTTGCAAATCAAGCGTCAGCCTTAACATCCAGTGTGAAAAGCATAAAGTCCTTCTTATCTACATTTTTGTCACAGAGAAAATGTGTATTGAAAATCTTATTTCAGGTATGAATGTCACCAGAAATACACGGTTACAAGGAAAATATTGTAAAAGAAAAAAAAACAGATTAGTAGCAGCCTGAATGTTCACAACATGTTACAACCTTAAATAATATCAGCCTTAGAGGTTCTATATGTAACTTTTTACATGTATAAATCGTTTTTTATCGCCCATTAATAAGCGAATGGTTAACTGATGTGAAGAAGTAGATGTTCACTGTCTATCTGTGTTGCCTGTATAAAATGTTTCCCCGGGTCGTATTTTCCGTGAAAGCTCCAGGAAGTGACATTTTATGTGCGTTCTCACGTCCTCCTCACTCCGCTCCTCATACAGAGATCAACAGTACAAACTCATCACACAGTCCTGGTCTTCACCTCCACAGCCAGAGGCCGCCTTCCACACGCTTCTATACACCCTAAGAGCTCTCAAAGGCGGACAAACTCATCACACACTCCTGCTCTCAGCCAGTGCCTGCAGAGACTGTCGTTTGTAGGATGGAGAATGAATACAGACACACAGACTTTCACATGTGTATGACCACTTACCTCCTCTGTGAACATTATGCCGGTAAATATCCAGTGTTTCGCGGCTGATGACAAACGCAGTATTTTTGAAAGTTACATAGAGCCCCTTTAAGCGTCTATTATTATTAGAGCCCGATCGATTAATCAGCCAGCCGATAGTATCGACTGTTGTTATTATATCCAGTGACTAAAGGCTAATTGTATCTCAGATATACGCCGATATTACTCGATTTATTCCCCAGTCAACACAAATTAAAGGTTTCCTGAAAAAAAAGAGGGTTGGATTGCCTGATCAAATCAAACTTTAAAAACCTGTGTTTCTTCTGAACAACCTGCTTTTCAAGATTTGATCCAATGTGAGTTAACCCAATCAGGTGACTTTTGAACAAGTGGGTCCTGGTATAAGTTATTTATGTCCAACACTAAGGCCCTGTGTCCACCTAGCGTTTTTTTTCCAGGCTGAAAAGCGCTGGCTGTGCGCTCGGGGGTGTTTGCATGAAGCGTTTGTGCTCTGAGAAGAAAAGCACTGCACATCTGTCCTGTCTCTATGACAACAGTGTGTTAATACGGAGAATATCATACATCTAGAAAAGAGCGCCTGTGACGTCAACAGCGCCTTTCTGAAAAATACTTTCTACTTGAGTGCTCGGAGTGGCCGCACAAAAAGATGCTGGGTGCTGCTCTTTAAATCCAGGCTGCTACTACTCATTGAAAACACTTGAAAACTCTTTCAGGACACAATGTTCAGTTAAAAGAAATATCTTGATTTAGAGATGGCTCTCGTACACATGTGTATCCAGGACCAAATGCATTAGCAGTCCTCATAGTCCGCAGGTACGTTTAAAGAAAGAGGAAATAATGGAGGGAAAGTATTGTTCAAAACAAGTACTGTATCTTTAATTCATCAGTTAATTGATCTTTGAGAAGAGACATCAGCTGTCGTCTTGAAGGATCTCTATTCAATTAGAAAGAGAAGAAAACCATTTTCTGTTCCTTGTTCAAACCAAAAGAAGTTTTTATCAAACACAAAACAATGCTCAGTGGGAGAGAGAAGAAAGTGACTTAATAGAAGAAATGAATCAGAGAATCAGACTTTAAAAAGCTGAAGAGAGCTCCGGCCTTTTATGAACATGTCATCTCTGAAGTGCAGGGTTTGAAGGATCACAAAGGATAGAAGCCGTTTAGTTTAGTTGAACATATCGATTACTGTAACTACAGACAATTTAGCCTTCAATGCAAGTCATTTAAAGCATTAAAGGGAATCTTTTATATTCATTTAGTGCGCTATTTTTTCAATGTGCGACTGAAGCTGGGGCTGCACGCAGAGCAGTGGTTAGGGCCGTTGCCTTGCAGCAGGGAGACTCCTGGTTCAAATCCCTATCGGACAGGAGCCTCTCTGTTTGGAGTTTGCATGTTCTCCCCATTTTTGTAATAGCTGTAAAAAAAAAAAAAAGGATTCTGTTGGCTCTCTTGACTCCAACCCATATGTAGGTCTTTCACACTTGAAGAAAAAAACCCTCCTGATATTTCCAGGAGCAGCTGTATGTGTGAACACAGACAGTCAAATTTTTCACCGGGAGTTTCTCCTGCCAGACCCCTAGTATATTTTTCCGCAGCAACTCGGAGTGAGCTGATGTGAGAATGCAGCAAGATATTCTCTGGAGAATTCACCTCGAGCCGATGGGAGGGGGAGTGACGTTTATATACTGTGACTGCTGCACGGTGCATTAAGTGTCTGCATGCCACCGCTAAGATCTCCGTGAACGTAATTAAACGACTGCATTTTGTTTTCTGTTCTCCAGTATGTTCTTCACCGCCCTTTTGTTATAGATTAGATTTGTTAGATATTGTGATTCCGCCTCATTGATATAAATGCCAATATTCTCATTATAGTGTCATATAGCGGACTCTGTTGCTTCGTCTGCTATTTCCACATTGTTTTTTTACGTCACGATTACCTCAGGAGACCCCCCGCCCCCCCCTCCCGTCTGACAGGGAGTCTCCCACTGTGAGTTTTTATGTGAACATCAACAACAGGAGATTATCCGGAGCAGTCCTCCTGACATTATCTAGACATTTTCAGGAGTGAATATTTGAAAAAGGGCTTTAGGTATATACTGTATATTTGATTTCCTACATATCTACAACATTAGGTATGATTTCATTCACACATTTCTTCATCTTCTACTCAAATACACATCATGTCGGTTCCTATCACACACATACAAA